TGTAAACCACCTCCCTCCAGTTATGCACTGGTATAAGACCACAATACAGCTAAAGAGAAAACACCCATTGATTCTATTCAATCCATCTGCTTCGGCTTTCTTTTAGACTTTTGACCTAACGAAATGGAATAGAAGAACCTACAGAAAATATAACAACTCTCCGGAGGTCATAGCTTTGGATTTGGCTCTTCTGTGTGGGTGCTAGATTCAAAGCTCTACACTATAAAACAAAGGAGAAGGGGATGAGAGTTAATGTGCAACAGTCTTGCATAAAGCTACACGTATAGTGCAAGAATGCATACCCAGTTTTTTTAGAAAAGAAAAACAAACGGAAACACAAATACATGATCCCATGAGAAACCTGATGCCACACATACATGTCAAGCATAAACCCCAAGAATCAAAAAGAAAAAATAGGCATTGATCATTTTCGTGTACCATCCCTGCCAAACTCCTCTAGAAAGCTCAGCAAACACGAAAAAAAATACAAGAAAAAACAGAAAAAGAAATCATTGATTTCCACAGTAAATATTCCTTTTTTTTAAAAAAAAGAAAAGAAAATAAAACACAGAAATGATTGTCTACCATAAACGGTTTTAAAACCAAGAAGGAAACTCAATTATTGTGTACCATAATAGTTTTTACATTTGCATATATCATAGAATACCCTAGCCTTGCTCCCCTTTAAAGAAATAAATAAAACACAAGAGAAAATATTTTGTTTCCATGTTTGTTCATACAAGTTTTGATAATTTATTTACATACCTCTATCAAATCCTTTTTCAGATGATGTTTTCTAATACATAACAGAAACTAACGAAATGGAAGTGCTAAGAAGCCCCTTTTAAACCGCCTTCCGCTCGGGGCGGAGTGGGTTGGGTTAGGTAGGCTTTTCAGAAACTTACTGTTAGGCAGACTGTAAAGATAAAAAAGTAGAATTTGGTTTACCAAGACCCCATCAATCTGTAGCCCCATAAGGTAAGGCTTTGCCATTCTTATCGCAAGCTTTCAGAAAAAAAATTCCTGACTAATATATCTTCCACCTTATTTTCACATTGTTGCATTACGTAAAAAGAAAAAAAAAATGAGGAGTATTTTCCCCCCTTTTACATTCATTATTGTCTCTATTTGCATATGTTATTAAAATCAAATATTGCTGAGAGTCCAAAATGGCTCTTCATTGTCTATTATTCAGTACATAATAGCGAAAAGAAGGTGATCAAATTGCTTCTAGCCCGCTTTGTGCGTAGAGTAGTAAGAGATGATTCGAGGGAGAAGTCTCAAAAAGATTGACCCCCTCCAACAAACTCCACTAGGAGAAATTAGAAAACTATGATATTCTCCTTCTCATTGTTGTTGATAATTACAAGACAACACGAAAGCTTAGAGCATTTACATTGCAAAAATGTCTAAGGATGTGTATGCGAAATATATTATTGTTTCAAGTTAAAAGGTTGCATGTGGAAGTTGCAGTTCCACATTTGGAGAAAGAATATCTTTCACTCATATAGTCAGTGTGGTTATATTTAAGAGAAGGTAGGGAAATACTACGTATTATCATCAGCCAACTCTTCTCCTTCAGTCTCAGGACATGTAACGAACATATTGCTGTTGCGATGTGATCGATCTGGTACACGTCGGCGCATACGGGCTCTGGCCATTTGCGCAGCCAATTCATCTGGAACTTCAGAGTTCGCTGTTGTAGTCCCGGCATCGAGAGGTTTCTCTTCAAACTCTTTAATATCAAGATCGGTGGCATCAACCGAAGGCTTGTCATCTTTGCTTAGCGCCGTATACTCTGGAGTTGTTGTATTGTTACTACTGCTCATTAATGGGTTCTCTTTATCCATCTTCCCTTCTTCGTTTTCAGTCTCTAGATCGCGATCACTGTCCACATCGATGTCCGTGTCACGCCATTGGTGACGCTCGTAAATCCATACTACGATACACCAAACCCCAATTACAAGAAGTACGATGATCAGAATTACAAAAAAGGCTACAAAAGCCCACAAGGAACGATTACTTGGTGATATGGCATTTGCACCATTGATTAAGCACAGCACCGCCAGAAGCACGAAACTCACCGTGTACATCACCGTCAGGAACGCAGAGCGCAACATGTTCATGAAACCCAACACCGCCGCACCCACAAACAGCACCGCCGCCATGCAGAAGTACGGAATGTGACACCTGCCCACCGGCGGCTGCACAGCAGCAATCAATCCCACAACGCAGAGCACCACCAATCGGAACACACACCAGTACGCATAACTGCCCTTCATGCTTGTAAACATGCTCCCATACATCTGCACCTGTGCCGGCGGACACCAGTACCCAACGGGATACAGCCATCGCACATACACCGGTTTCTTTGAGAACTGCCAGTACTTTGTGAAACTCGCATCGGTGTAGTGTGCAATGAAGTAGCAGGTGGCAACAGGAAAGGCCACACCGTATAGCGCGCCAATCACCCCGACAACGTAGTGCTGTGGATGTGCATCAGGCATTGCCAGCATGGAGATAGAGCCCACAAAGATACCAAGGTGCATTAGGTACGCCACGAGGTACGTCAAGCTTGGGAAACGCATCACCGCCCGCGCGCTTATCGTATCCACACCTCGCCACCGCTCAAATACCACCGTCAGTCCGTAATGCACGCATCCAAACACCAGGGCAATCAACGCGTTACCCACCACCATCCACAGTGGACCAAGACTGGCAAACACCGACAAAAAGTATGGCAGCGCCACGGAACTGTCACGCACATAATCCGGTGCACATGACATAAGTGCAAACCCACCGAGTGTCTGTATATCCAGGATCGATCCAAGACCACCAGCAACAAAGAGTCCAACGGTCAACGGAGCAGCGGCAATGCCAGAAAAGGCAGCGAGTCCGCTATTCACCTCAGACTGTTCCGCAACAAAAGGCTCGTCTAAGGTGAGGGTAACAGTTGGTGTCGGTATGGTCAGCGTTAGCGTGGAGGTAAGCGTCTCCGTGGACGTCTGCGTCAGCGTCGCTGTGTAGGTGAATGTCGGCTTCGGCTGCAGTTTATTACAGCCATCCGGGTGTGGCATGAACACTGGCAGACAGCCACGCTCATACACCCCTCTCACACAGATACACTCGCATGTCTCCAACACCTCCCTTGTCATGATGGAAAAGCAATTCACATCAATACCACACGCCCCACACTCCAGGGTACGCGTCACACCTGTGATACCAACAGACTCATAGTCACTCGGCAACAATGGTTCACCGTTGAGACTCAGACACCCCACCAAAAACTTGCTCCCAGCGCTCCCCAGCGTGACAGCTCCGTCCATCACGGCGGAACCACCACCGCTGTTATTGTATAGTGTAAGCGTGCTCTTCACGAAGTCCGCACTGGATGGGCTTGACGGCAGCGACAGAAGTTTGACTGGGAATTTGTTACCCTGTAGCGACAGCCACGAGCCGGACACAAATGACACCATCCCTTGCAGCGTCAACAGTGCTCCATCACTCAGTGTTCCCGTGTTGTCCTCAATAACCACAGCAGACCTACTTACTGCTACTCCCGTGTCGAACACCAGACCACGCCTCGCATACAACTCACTCCCCGACACCCGCAATGCGGAGCTGCCGGACGCCGTCAGTTGCACACCAGCGTACAATGAAAGTTCCCCACCAAGCAGAAGAGCGTCCAGCGCAATGCCACTGTTGTCCAGTTCAAACACCGTGCCGTCAGCAACGACAGCAGATCCACCAGCCATCACAGTCACAATAGACACGCGGTACACAATCAAAACGGAACGCACAAGACGAAGGCTTGAAAGTAACAGTCCTGGAGAGTACACTGCAGACTGCACAGCAGGCAAATATAGAAACAATGTTGGTGCTGCTGTCGTAAGGAGGGAGTCCGTAATACTCAGTATAGAATCCTCTGGAAAGGTGCCTGTCAGGGCAATCGCACCATCAGCTGTCATAACACTGCACATAGAGAGTACCACCGGGTAGCTATCACTGTTATGACCAATATAGTTCTTACTCCTTTGTGCGAGTTTAATGCGACGCAGTCCGCTTCCCCCCATCACGTACAGCACGGCCCCATTGCGCAGCGTCACGTTCTGTACAATAATTCGCACACCACTGCTCCCTGTCCAGGGTACATAGACAACAGTCTGCACGCCGTCCATCTCCACGTGGCGCAGTGTCACCTCGCCCACGCCAGTCGGTACAACGATCGTCGATCGCACCGTTGTATTCTCGATGACAAACGACGACGAAGGACTCGGGGCGGGCGGCAGCGTGACGCTCTCCACAGGCAAACACGCCTCACCATGTCCGCTGCTGCCGCAACTGCACACGCACTCGTCACCCTCCTTGGCGGCTGACGCCGTTCCGGGAGCGTAGCAGTACGCGTCCTTGTCGCACGTGTCACAGTCAATAACTTCGATGCGCGCAGCGTCGCCGAAACCAGCCGCAGCGTACTCAGCCGCCGTCGTCAGCACTCTCCCGCCAACACTGTTGCATGCCGCATTCAGGTGCGCCCCAGGGCCAAACGAGATATCCACAGACAGCATCCGCGGGGACAATCCCACATTACGTGCAAAGCTCAGCGTGCTCCCTCTAGCCGTCAGGGTACCAGCAGCGTACATCATCTCCCTCTCACTGTTGTCGTGCGTGTTAGCTTTCATCAGCAGCATCGATCCCTCAGTGAAACTCACCGTTGAATGAAACGCAACCGCATAGTCCTGCGTCGACGCAAAGTCGCTCCGCACAAACGCCACAACAGAGCCGGTCACATCAAAGGTCCCACGCACAGACACCGCGTGCTTGCATAGCAAGAAATCACTATCGACAAACGCGAGCACTGAGCCACCGCCTGCCGTCACGTCGCCCTCCATCGACACGCACAACCCCAGCGCCGTCTGCACCAACAGCTGCTCCATGTACAGCGCACCACCAGACGACAGCACCAGGCCACCGGCCACAAGCACACCGTGCGCGTCACCGAACACCGCAACCACCCGCGTGCGCGCGACTGTCAGCACACTACCAGCCAGATTCACATTGTACAACACAAGGCACGCCGACGAGCCCCCAAGGTTGTAACCGCTGCGGTACGTAACAGCCGTCTCAGCGATCAGCAAGGAGTCCACCACAGTGACACGAGAACCTTGCGGGAACCTGTTCGCCAGCAGCACCCCGCCGCCAGAGCGCGACACAAGCCCACTGATCCACACCTCCACACGCTGACCAGCAGGCGGGTTGGACTCCCAACCCACAACGTACAGACTTGCGGTGCCAACCATCGTGCAGTTCATGAGCGTCACGTTGCGCACGTCACCCGACATTGCACTCACGTCCACAACAATGTCCGCAGTGAAGGTCACACCCACGTAGCACACCTCCGACTTTCCAAAGCCCTCGATCACCTCCCACGTCACAGTGATGTCACGCACGCAGGAATCCACTCCATCGTTTGGGGTATCAACTGGGAGACACATCTCGCCATGGCCTCCCTCTGCACACTCGCATACACACCCTTCAGCTGATTCATGTGTTGATGCAGTGTATGCTGGAAAGCATGACGTCATGGGGCTGCATAAATTACTGCAGCTCACAATCGTGGGGTCGTACGCTGGGGGAATCTCGTAGCTTGTTACCTCGACATTGTTTACCTTGTTGCAGTGCAGCAGCATTTTCGATTGTACCACATCCGGTTGTGATGACATGAGACCACCCAAAATATTGGGGTTTCCTGTAGTAGACGCAACAAGGCTCCTTCCCACTGCCACCGTAGAGTCTTCAAGCTTCACTGTGCTGGAAATGTACACAACTCCATTCTTGATATCTCCGTTTGCACGATTCCTTTCAAGCTGAAGCCATGAATCACCAACAACTGTGATGCCCTGCTCTACATGTAGCAAACTGGATCCCAACATTACATCGTTATTCTTTAACACAACAGCAGACAGAGATTCTACGTCCATCTTCCAAGTAAGCATAGCAAAGTCCAACAGTGTCTTTGTCACAGTGTTGCCTTGGATAACAACCGCAGAGTTATCTAGTACACGCAGCGAATATGATGTAACCGTCCCTTGTAGGTAGAATGCCGTCCCATCTTCATTATCCAGAGTGAATGTATTGTTTACCATAGTGAATAGGGAGTTCGACATCACTGTAAGGGCATCCTTTATCACGTAAACGCCACGTCCTGAGGGTGCAAGAACCTCAAATATATTGTCAACAAGTGTGACAGCAGAGTGACTTTTTACATTCAGTTGATTCACTACGAGACATGTGGGATTTGAAAGAGTAATAGAAGGATGATTGATAATTTTGGTGATGTGGAAGTGATTCCCTTCTATTGTAATGTTCGTCTGAGGAGGGAACACACCCTCTGGGCTCAGCAACGCATCCTCAAATGTGTTGTGAATAATATCAATATTTAGCGCCCCTACTGTAGAGCCACCATTTCCCGCATTCAGCAATAGCACGGCGCCGTTCAACCACTGACATCTGTCAAATATTATGAATGCAACATCACCCTTCATTGCAGTGATATCCACCGTTAGACGCATAAGTGACCCGCTGAATGTCACGTTGCGGAAGCACAGCCACGGCAGCCCGCTTCCTATCGTCTGCGTCACCTCCGGATATTCCATGTTGCTCATGCACTCACCAATCGTTGGTGGTGATGGTAGTGGTGGGGGTGGCGGCGGTGGAGGCGGCGGCGGGGGTGGCGGCGGTGGGGGATGAAGAGCAGCTGAGAGATTGAACGGCATGCACGAGGGCCCATATCCGTTGGCCTTGCAATTGCACGTGCAAGAGCTGCTCACCGACTCTGTGTTGGGCATGTAACAAGCCGCGTCATTGTTGCACGACCCACAGCTGAACTTTGTAACAGTAGTCGGGAACACATCATCGTAGGTGACCTCTTTGTCGTTGAGTCGGTTACACCCCACAACAAACTTCGAGGGTGCATTGACGGTAGTGAGTGAGGGATTCAAACCAGAGAACGCGGCAGTCCATTTCGCCTGTGTATTGCTTGATATCACAGCAGTGGTCCCGCCACCTGTTAATACTATAGAGGATCCAGTATTAAAAATAATATACCCAGCATTCATATTGTTCCTTTCCATGCGCCACTGACTACCATCAGCTAATGCCGCTGACACTGACAAAAAGAGAAGTGAACTTTTCGCATATCCTGATGTCCCAAGGAAGCTGCAACCTGCCACTCTAAATAGACCATTTTTTGAAACTTGAAGCGCATCAGATAGCATAACACCACTAACAGTATCCAGTGTGTTGCCACTGAAGTCAAAGTACCCTCCGTTCACCAAACTCAGTTGGAGAGTTTTCAATGCAGCGTATGTTTGATCAATCTTGCTTGAAGTCGTCAGTGTGGAGTTTTGCACGACAAAACTGCTTCCATCAATGATATAGTTGCTGTTGAATAGAATAGCATTCTGAACTGCAACAATTTTATTGTTAAGCAGCAGTATTATCGAATTTGTTCCGATAGAATTTGTGTCAAACAATATTCCGCTGTTTGCCAGTGAAGTGATGGTGTTGTCCTTTACGATAATCTTTGAACCGCCTTTAAACGCACCTTTCATAATCAACGCAGCACTCTCTGTTGACGGCACCTGAAAAACAGATGCGTCTATTGTAATTAAATAGTTTGTACGCCCATTTTCTATTCTAAGTCCCATGAAATTACAGCGCAAAAAAGTTACATTGTAATTTGGTGGCAGTGTCGTACTACTGGGAGGAACCAAAGTAACTGGTGCGTTGAACTTGATATCAATCAAGCAGATTCCGTGATCAAAACTATACCCCACAATAATATTACCAAAGGTGTGGCGACGTATGCAGTAAAGCGTCGTAACGGGTGGCAGAAAAACTCTGTTGAAAACTATACCATCGACAGGAGCCGGTAAACAATATCTTCCGTAGCCACCTTCAGTACACACACAACTGCAGCTAGCAACATTAGCGGATACTGTAAATGGAAGATAACAAATGAGCTCTTTTTCACATTTAAGCGTCGGAAAGACCGTAACTGGAGCGTTTAACTTCGCAACAGAATAGTCGGTTATGTACGTACCCAGGTACAAAAATTTCCCACCATATATAACAGAGTCTGCAGAAACAACAGGATGCAAATCATTCGTAATCCATACAGTTTTAGGCAACTGCCATCCTTGGGCAATTGTCAGTTTCTGAAACGACAATACACTGTTATCAAGGAGATAAATATTCCCTTTGACGTCATCCACATGAAAAACAAACATGGAGTTGAAATCTGTCATACGTATGCTAAGTAAACTCTCTTTTTCAACGGTGATATTACTTGCTGTGAAACCTGCACCCCAGAGAAAATAATAATTCCAAAAGACCATCAGCACTCCTCTGTCGCGCAATACTATTTGTTGAGATTTCAATGCGGCAATCCCATAGGTATACCATCTATTCACCTGTAGCGACACCACGGAACTTGATAAGACGTAAAGGTCACTTGCCAGGAAATATATTGCACAGTCCTGAGCATATAAAATAGAACCATACAAATAGAATGATGATTGTTCTTGCAGGTTTAAGTCGTGTTCCACAAGAATTGAGGAACACATGTCTCCATCACATTGAAACATTGTATGCATGAGCAGCAACTGACCTTCAAATAACCACAGGTTGTTTAACACAAGTACAGGCCCATACTTTTTATTCTTCTCACCAGTGGTCGTGGGTACGTACAGTGATCCGTCCGTTGTCGCATAGAGCTCTGATTTGTCCAAAATGATACGTGACTTCCGTGGCATCTGACTCTGGAATACTATGGTAGCCTCATTTGATATATCATTCGTCATGTCTACCATAAGAGGAGGCATCCATTCCTCTATAGTATTCAATCCATTTATGATCAGCTGCGCACCACCAGTGAGGAAGCACTTGGAGAGTGTCACATTCACAGAGTCAACATAGGTGTTCATCTGGCGCAGGTCCACTGTCACAGTGATCGGCCCACTAAACGTAACGTTGTTAAAGCACAGTGATGATTCCTCAAAACCAAGCGTCGCGGACTCTGTTACTGTAATGTCAGTAGTACATGGAAGAGTGTTGACTTTTGCGAAAGGCACGTCAAACGGGAGGCACGAGGGGCCGAAACTACCAGAAGAACAGCTGCACGTACAATTATTAGGCAGAAACGATGATGTCAGTGCGGTAAAGCATCGCTGATTCTCCACGCAGCTGAAACATGGTGCAACGTTCACAGAGAGCATACCAGCGGCTGTGTAATCATTCGTGTCCTCCAGCACCTTTGTCCCGAGACGGTTACATTGCACTGAAATAATGCCACTTGTCACTGTCGGAGCGGTGGCAAATGTTGCGCCAGAAGCAATAGAGTGCACAATTGAGACAACACCGCCATCAAGCGTTACGGATGACAGCGATGCGACCCGCGATGATGACACACCAGCTGCTGCAACTGCTGACACACGTACACCGTATATGTCGAGCCACGCGTCAACGCCAATCGTTCCTCCACCTGCGTGCAGCAGTGGGTTGGCGATGTTCGCATTAAGGCGCACAAGGCGAAACACAGAACGGGACATTGTGAGGCTATCGCCAAGGACGATTCCACTGCCGCTACTCACAACAGACGCATTCGTTACAGAGAACACTGAAAGGCTCTGCAGACTCAGAACAGACGCAGGCGACACGTACATCGCGTACGCCCCGTCACCCCCACTCGCCTCCAGCGAAACACCGTCAAGCACCACAGCACTCGACAGTAGGTACACGTTGCCACCCACGTAGAGCGCCATCCCACCGGCGGCGGACGTCCGCAGAACGCTGTTCTCCACACGCAGCTCTGACTGCGAAAGCGCAGTCGCATACAGCACAAGCGGGGCCGCAACGGCATCCGTCAGGCCGCTGACCGGTGCGTAGCTCACGGGTCCCGTCGTCACGATCGTAGAGTCTCGGATTGTCACGTTGGTCTGCGGAGGCAGGTTGTGCGCCAAGACGAATGAGCAGAAACGACCAGATAATCTGTCCACACTCACTTCCAGACTCCGGTCACTTGCGGGATCACCATTGTACCCCAACACATAGATCTGCGACCCACCATCGCACACGCAGTCCTTCAGCTCAATGCGCACCGCACCAGGGAGCATCGCGGTGACATCAAACACCACCGATGCACTGTTTCCGATGGACACACCGTCCAGTAACACGCTGTCCACGCCGTACGCAAATACAGTGTTATTGTTGATTGTATCACCAGCCAGTTTGAATGGGAGAGCATGCGCCACGGGGAACCAGGGGGGTGTGACAAACATTGCAATCACTGTAACAAGTAACAGCAGCAGCAACGTGTGCATAAATGTATTGGAACCCCTACCCAGACGGTGTCGATTAGGTGGATATATTTTTACATCTGAATGCATTGATTGATCAAAAGGGAGCTTGCGTAGAGGTTGTAAACTGTTTGGGGAATAACTCTGGGTATCTCTATCGCTCACCAGGTGTATCCTCCTTTTTTTCATTTGGTGTTTATATAGAGGGCTTAAAGAATTAATAAATCCTTCGCCCAGCATATTGCGCAATAATTTATATATAGGTTAACTAATTCGTCCTGTAGCAGAAAAAAAGAAAAAAGGGAAAGAGGAAAAAAGTGACATATGATATTCAATCCCAAAACCCCAAATAGCATACACTATAGACTTCACAAGAGCAGAGTGTATTTGCAAAAAAAGGAAAAAAACCCATAGATGGGGTTTATACCAGGTAACAATGGCAAACCAAATAAAAACTGTCATCATCACGCAAGATTGAAGGAAAAAAAAAAAACCACAGCGCGAAGAGAGTGTTATAAAGGAATAAGAGTGGAAATGGATGACATCGGAAAAGAATTTGTTGAGCATCATAGCAATTATTACATTCAAACAAAAGAATAGAAAGAAAAATACCACAAGAAATGGAAATATCTGGTTTCACCACTCTTAGAATTGTAATTTAACTCTAATACATATCTTCCTTCTTTTAACACTCACATTTATGAATCACTAACGAAGCAAGAAAATAAAAAAAAAACATAATGTGATCTGTAATCAAAACTGAACTGTATCCCCAGCAATGCAGAAAAATCCATGAACCACATTATTCGCCTCCCAAGTCAAGTCGAGCATCTGTTTGACTATCATCCAACACCCTAGCTACGTCTCCTGAGCTACTCGTGATGGCAAAGTCCTCATCGAATAAGCAAACAATGTCAACCACTCACCTCATCCCTACCCAATGGGGTTTAACCTCTCTTCATCAACTTCATTCTATGCAACGTACACTCGACACTCGATTCGAAGGGCAGTTTGGTCTTAAAACTGCCTTGTTTCACAAATATATACAAGGTCATGGCAAACTTCATTGCATACATTAGCCAACAAAGCAAAGTTTTGCTTGACGAATGTAGTTTAAATATTTAGGATTATAGGCAGTTCTTCTGATATTATTACCATTTTTTCTACATCATTAAGAAGAAGAGACTTTGGTCTTATCCAAAATGATGTTGAAATTAATTTGTACTCTGAGCTTACTTAACATATTCTTTTGTATTGCTGCAAAACATGTCCTTCTACTTCAACCTCAGTGCAAATTCAACTAACGGCACCGTCACCGTGCGGTAGCAAGGGGTACAATTGAGATCACTCCAAGTAAGAATTCCTTCTTTTTCTTCTTAAGAATATATAGGTAGAATCATTTAATCACAAAAAACTCACCCTCCACGATGTAACGAAACTCTCACCTCACCTTGGTTTCTAGAAACCCACCCCCTTGTGTATCAATCTGCGTCACCAATAATACCCACACCATTCCTGTCACCACACTCCTGCGCGTAGGTTGAGTCCTTTTTCACACTAGTAAAGGTGTATCCCTTGTTTGAAAGGGTGATCTCACTGCTGCCTGGGACCTCAGTTGGTGGTAATACGTTTTTCTCTCGGTCACTCCTCTGAGCTCCTTCGGATTTGTCACGTGAACCACTCACATTGTTGGATAGTTTGCTTTCCTGGACTGCAGCATTTCCTTTACCCGTACAACCATCAATGACACCCCTCGCAGGATTGGATTCGTCGTCTTGAGGAATAATTGGGGTTTGGGAAGATACACCGTAACTTCCTTCACTAACGGAGGTTATCTCTGACTGCATAGTGGTGTCCGGTCTTACAACGAGACCTACTCACAAGTTCCTTGGTAATAATGTTCTACCTTATCGTGGTACCAAGGTGAAGTAGATGAATTTATTCAAAGAAACTAAAAGCACTCACTAAATGTTTGAAGTGGGTGGTCTCCTAAAAAACCACAATATATTTTGCAGGAGGTGATCTCCTTAAAAAAAAAAAAAAAAAAAAAAAAAACAATTTCTTTTTCTTTTAATACGTGCGTTCTTAGGAATGTTATCCCCTTGGTGACGTTTGGCCATCGAAAGTTGGAGCCAAGGTCCATTACCTCATCTGTTTTGCGCGGGAATCCGTGGGCCAGCAAATTCTCTTTCTATAGAGTTTACGGGTTCATAGGCTACAAACGTCATACAGCACCGGGGCCAGCAAAGAGGTACTGGGACAAAACTTTATCCAAGAAGGCCCTGGTGCGCGTGCCGGCGTGCCATCAGCAGAAGTTTCTTTTGTATATTTCACTTTAGTGTGAATGCTGCTAAAAAGGAGAGGCAGAGACCCTAGAGATAGTAACAATTATGCCCTCCAGTGGTGAAAATTGGATTAGCCGCTGAGGGGACTCAGAGAGGCGAAAAAAAAAACCATGTTCTACCACCTACGAGATTCTTTGTAATTTCATTACAAATGCGTAATTCCGCTGCGCAGCGGTAATAAAATACAATGCGAAAAGAAAATACAAAAAAAATATATATATATACATATATCTTTTTATATATATGCATTGCTGTTGATGGTTCGCGCCATTGGGGTAAAACCCACAAAGACGCGAAGAACAAAAAAAAAAACTCACAGGTTCACCAACAGTGCCTTTGTTACCCTTGTCATCCTCCTCAGTGCGTCCTGCTTCTTATTCTTCCATCGAAGGAACGTCACCAGTCTACGGCAACCTTGTGCACACCTCAGAATATTTGGGGCAAACAATGAATCCACCATTGAATGCTGAACCGTCAATATTAATGGTGACGTTCTCACCACTGCACTCAAACCATTCAGTAGTACCTTCTTTGACCTTGTACTGTACATGCACCTTGCCATTATCACACTTTACTTTTGCACAAATACCTTGTACGTTCACTTCATTATTAGTACCATATGTAAACTTCGTTCCTCTCACATTCAGAGACCGTGACATATTGCTCACAATGATGTCCCACATCAGTTTCTCATTGCAGCTATCACTTGTGGTCTGTTGAAAGATTATGATTAATTAAGGAACCATTTGCCATATTATTCTCTCCAGCAGTCTTTGTAAAGTAGTGGTACTCAGCGGATTTGTCAATAATCTTGATCGTACAGCAGACCTCAAGAAGAAAGAGTCCAGATGAGCAGTGCAAAATCACTTTCAATGAACTGTAGAATAAGGTAGAAAACCGTTTAACTATATATCCTTCCCAAGCTGCTTCATATTCAAAAACCTTCCCCCAGCCATGCTCTATGTTGCGTTGTTTTTTTTTTTTTTTTCGTTCGTTGCTTGTTTCTTTTTTGTTGTCGTTCCTCCTGTTTTCCCGTTTTGCTTCGGCGCCGCGGCGCCCCAGTGGTCACGAAAGAACCGCCTCAAAGAAGCGGACGGCGGCGCGGGGGAGAATCCGCCCGGAATTCCACCGAACCGAAGCCGAATTAGCAGGACAAGGCGCGAATTCCGAGGAGGAACGAACCAGGGGTCCGGCGGCAGAAGCCATTATTTCCCCGCAGGGGGTTGGTAGGGAGGAAAGGCGTTTGAAACACAAGGGGAGGAAAAAGAAATCGAAAAACCTAAAAGAACTCAAGGTGTACCAACCCAAACGGCCAGTAAATATGATGAGGCCATCCCAAATGGGGGCAGGTGCGGCTTCAAGTCCTCAGTTTTTCAGCTTTTCGTCGCCCAACCTTTTTTTTGGAAATTTGGAGAAGCGCCCGTTTTCAAGCCGCGCGGGCCTCCCTCCTTTTTCGTGCGGCCGCGTCCCGGCAAATGCCCCCGACCAGAAAGAACGGTCTGGGGTACCCCACGCGAGGGGCGTTTCACCCCGTTTCAGGGGCCAGCGGGGAGGGGGTGGGGCGGGGGATGCCGGTGACCACCTTCCCACCCATCGCTTCTTCTTTTTTTTTTTTTGTCTCCTTTCTGTTTCTGCTTTCGTGCGCGTGGGCCGGTCCAGGTTTAACGTGGCTAAAATTGAAAGAGTGGTGCGTTTTTTTTTTTCATTCTTTGGTACCTTGGAATTGTTTGAAGGTTCCTTTTTTTTTTTCTCCTTTTCATATGATCTTTTAAATCTTTACGTTTTAAGGTTTTTTTTTTTTTTTTATTTAATTACTTACGAAGTATAGAGATGGAGGTCTGTGTGAATTCAGCGAATTGCAGTGGCAGAGAGTCGCTTTGTTTTTTCCCTGAACTGAATCCTTTTGTTTCATGGTATGTTCTAATTGGCGGTGATTTCTGCTATCTTGCTGTTGTGTTCCTACTGAGGCGATGGATGCAGCACCGAAGACCATTGGATGTTAGTATTCCTATGGTTATCTATAACATTCTTCAAATTTTTCTTTCTGCACTTATGGCAATAAATCTCTCGCCATACCTTAGAAACGGAATTTTTAATCTTAATGGACTTTTTTGTTCTAACATTGAATTTTGGGTATTTGTCCACTATTGTAGCAAATACCTAGATATGATGGATACTATTTTCATGGTTTGTAGGAGGAAGGATGACCAACTGACATTCCTTCACCTTTATCATCATACTACAATAGGTTTTATATGGGGACTTCTTTTGAGAAATGGGATGGGCAATGGGACAGTTTTCTTTGGTGCCTGGATTAATTCATCTGTACATTTTTTGATGTACTCACATTATCTTTGGACTTCTTTTGGTTTCAAAAACCCGTTGAAGTATCTTCTTACCAAGGTTCAGATGTTCCAGTTCGGATTGTGCATCTTACAATCGGTTTTGGTTCCCTTTTTTGATGATCAATTCACCATATATTGGTGTCTTCTTCAGATGGCATACCACACAAGTCTGTTTTTTCTTTTTTTAAATTTTTATCGTGGATCAAGAAGAAAGAGAATTTCGAAATAGGTAAGCTATAATTCCAACATCAGGTATTTATGGTCCTAGGATCTTCTTACTCTTAATAGCATATTTTAAAGAAGATTTTTAACTTTGGACACCTAGGTAAACATTTTTTTTTCTTTTTGAATCTTTTCCTTTTCCATTTCTAATATGTTGGGTTTGTGTTATTAATGAAACCAAGGGAAATCCTTTTTTTTCCATTTGGTACCGTTTATAATGTCCTCTGTCTCCTTCCTTTCTTTCTTTCTTTTTTTTTCCTTATTGCTACACGATTAGGCCTACAAAATTTTTAAGTGATGGAATCACCAGCTAAAGGCGATGGTCGCCAGGGTGTCAAGGCAAGCCAGAAACACATAGAATTTCAACTACAGCGGGAAAAGACCTATACCCGTGAGCTTGAGGAGAAGATTAAAACGCAGCTAGCCCATATAGCCAAGCTGGAGCAGGATAAAGCTGAGTTGAGACGTGAGATGATTACCCTTGTGGAAGAAGAGAAGAAAAAGACGAAGCTAGAAGAGAGGTGTCACATGCTACAGAAGGAGCTTGCAGAAAAACAGACTGCTTTAATTGGAGAGCAAAAACGTGTTACATCAATAGAGTGTGAGAAGGAACAGATTCGTCGTGATGCTCATACTTCTATTGCGAAATGGTGTGAAGCTGAAAAACAATGGATAGCAGAGAATGATGCTCTTCAAAAGGACTTAGAGGAATCTAGAGATGCTTTTGCCAAATTAAAATGTGATTATGAAGCTTTAACCACTGAAAGGGATGATGTGTTGAAACAACTCCACCGTGAGAAAGAGCATTGTTCACGATTAGAATCTGTTTCTGAGACCACTGAGAAAAAGATCGCTGCTTTGCATTCACGCATCGAGTCACTGCAAAATGACATTTACACTCGAGATGAAACATTATTTAAATTGGATGAGGCAGGTACCAAGTGGCAAGAAATATGTCATTCCAAAGATGAGGAAATCAAGGCACTTGAAGTACAAGTTGCAAAGCAATCTGATACCATTGAAAATCTTCAAAATACTATTTCAACACTTAATCAACGTATTGAAGCTACAAAAATGATCAACATGGAAGAAAAGTGTCGTGTTGACAAAGTTTCATGTGACCTACGTGAATGTGAGAAGGAGAATAAACTTCTTCAACTGGAACTAGATACATTACGTCGTGATCTTGACTATGCTTCTCAAAATGCAACGAAACATCAAGAACTTGTAACAGATTTACGTGCAAAATTGCTTTCATCAACAGAGCAGATGAAAGAAAAAAATACTGAAGTACGGAAACAAGAGTTGATTATTAGTCAACTGACAGCTGATCTAAAAAAAATGGAAAGAGATCGAACTGATGGTAGTTACCTGGTGAATTCATTACAAACCCAATTACAGAGTTTACAAGATGCATTGTCTGAAGCACAATCAAATGTTAAAACTCTTGTGGCGGAAAAGTTAATTTTCGAGAGTGAGCTACAACAGGTCAAGACATCTTTTGAGGTGAGGGATGAGGCTGTGGTATTGATGAAGTCTGAACTTGAAGACAAGATTGAGAGTCTTCGTGCTGATGTTAGAAACCTAGAGTCTGAGGTTAGTGAAAGACAGAATGTGATCAACAGTATAACAAAACAATTGGGTGAAGCAAATGTGAGGAACGAAGAGCTCTATGGAAAAGTTCTAAAGCATTCTGATTTATCCGTACAACTTCGTGGAGAGTGTGATAATTTACAGAATGAGAGAAATAAACTTTGTCAGGACCTACTTATCCTTGAAGAAAATGTTTGCAGGTATACCCTATGTGATGAATATTCTGAAATGATATGTGATACTCTCATGATACATGCAGTAGAGGTAACTTCGGTTCTTAAAGTATATTTTGGAGAGATTTCTCGCCTAGAAAATAATCTGAAGGAATTGGCTTCTGAAAAGCTTGCAGGTGAGAATAAATTTACACTTGTTGAAGCAGCTTTGCGGGAAGAACTCCAGTTGCTGAAGGAACGTGAAGCTGAAAAAGCTAACGAAATCGCTACAGGGGAAATGAATATCGTGACACTTGAAGAAAAAGTAAAGATGCATGAGGAAACTATCTTTGCACTGAAGAAGGAGGTAAATCTTCATCAAGGAAGATGTGATGAGCTTCAGAATATTGAGAAACTTCTTTCTGAAAAGGTTGTTGATGCCGAAAATCTTATTCGACAGATGTCAACTGCTGCTGAAAAAGACGTTTACTTATCACAATATACTACAAAATGGCTTCATAATACTATAGAATCAGTCACCTTGTTTTGTGATGGTTTCTGTACATATTTATCAGAAAAAACAGATTTTATACTGGGCGAGTTTAACAATCTTCATGTCATTGAAACTATGAAAATTTTGGAAGCATATAATTTCTCAAAAACATCTCAAAAAGATACAGAAGAGAAGTGTACGCGTCTGCTTTGTAAAGTAAGTGATCTTGAACTTCGCCTTGCAAAGGCCGAGAAGTCTTTTGCAAATCAGTCAGAGGGTTTTCTTATTAAAATTCGTTCTACTGTCAGAGAGAGAGAATTGGCAGAGAAAGCCAGAGATGATGCTTTACATAAATTAAAGTGTATGTCAGAAGATCATTTGATTCATTGTAATGCGGATGGAGAACGAATAAAGGAACTTCTCTCTTTATTGCATACTGAGAAGCAAAACCGTCAACTGATGGAGGAAAAGGTGCAGAAGCTCCGAAAAAACCTGGACTATGAGCTTGGACGGAAGAAGGAGTACAAGGAGGCACTAGAGGAAGTTAAGGCGAAGCGTGAAGAAGCTGAGAGATATCGAGCTACTGAAAAGGATTGGGCAATGAGGGCAATAGAACGGGCCAATGAAGAGGTAAATTATTGGGTAAGAAGCTTTGACAAACTTAAATACATGCTGGATGAGCTATCTAAGAGATCGGGAGCTCGAGTTTCAGCTATGGACCAAGCAACCATCAAAACGTTTGAAGAGGCAAAGAGCAGGTTGACGCTACGTGATCATGACGTTAATGTAATTTCACAGGAAGAGAAGAATCATGGAGAAAAACGTCAGCGAAAAGAGTAGAGGAGATTCAGTTCACACGGTCTACAAGCGACCTTCATTCTAGAGTAGATGCTAGACCAGATATAATATATTTGAATATATATATATATATATACGGGGGAAAAGGAAATGTAGACTTATTTTTTTATTGTATGCGGTCTGTAACTCAAGAACTACAGTAATAAGTAGTAATAATAATAATAAATTCACCTGGTATTTTTTTTTTTTAATGGGATTCTCTATTCCTCTCCCCCCTTTTTTTTTCTTTTTCTTCGAATTCCTTTAGGTTTTCATGCTAAGGGTATTTGGGATTAACTATCGCGCTCGAATTACAGCTTTCAATCCATGGAAAAGTAGACCAGCAGGGCTGAATCTTAATGGTCGCCCTCAAATGGTTGATCCTAGGTACTTCAGAGGTGAATATAGACGCAAGAATCCAGATGATCCTACACGACTTTTAAAGATGAAGCATGTCCTTCTTAAACGTTGCAGCTCATGCAAACGAACTCTTTTTGTACCACTTAACCGAAAGGATCATTTTCACACTTGTTGTGAGGGAGTACCTATGAAAGTATTCACAAATATGGAGGCTGTAATGAAATCGGAACAGAAACTCCTAACCTATTCTAGGCAATGGGATGTTGAAAATGATCGTCCATGGTGCAATACACACAGACCACGACCGAAAGGTAGGTCAAAGTTGAAGAAATGATTTGCGAGTTGGGTTAGAGTTAGAGTAATGACTCCCCACCACAACTCTCTCATTGACTGTATAGTCTGATTTGTCGTTGCTTATTTAACGTGCTAAAGTTTACTTGAGAAGTGATTCTATATATATATATATATATATATGTGTGGGTGGGTTTCTTGTTTTATACCTTCTTCGCTTTCCCCTCCCCCCTGGATTCTTTATATCTTTTTATTTTTATTTTTTTCTTCTTCTGTTACTTACCATACTTTCAGATTTTGCAAATACTCTCCTAGAAAAAAAAAATGGGATGGTTCTCATGGTTCTGGGGCATGATGTCCTACCTTGGTTTGAGCAACAAGACGGGGAAAATATTATTCCTCGGACTCGATAATGCCGGAAAAACAACACTCCTCGGAAAACTCGCCACTGACCAGGTACACGTGCATCGACCTACTTTTCACCCTAATGTTGAAGAACTCACATTGGGTGGAATAAAACTAAAGACAATTGATATGGGTGGTCATTTGGAGGCTCGCCGACTATGGAAAGATTACTTCACGAAGGTTGACGGTGTTGTCTTCATTGTGGATGCTGCTAACCCCGAACGTTTTCCCGAAGCAAAACAAGAACTTGACATGCTTTTACAAACAGAAGAACTTGCCAAGACACCCTTTATCATTCTTGGTAACAAAATTGACATGCCACGTGCAGTTTCCGAAGAACATCTTATTGCTGCAATGGGTCTTACCGGACTTTCTACAGGCAAACAAAACAAGGTAACTGATGCAGCCGTGCGCCCTCTTGAAGTTTTTATGTGCAGTGTGATCAAAAAGGTCGGATACGGTGATGCCTTTCGTTGGCTTTCGCAGTATCTGCAGAATTCATAGGATTTTTTTTTTTCTCGTAATATGTTCAGCTTCCTATTTTTAATGTTTTTTTTTTATTATCTTCCAATGTCGTAGTGGAGCTGGGCATTTTTTTTT